CCCCCCCCCCCCCCCCCCCACACACACACACACTTCCTCTTTATCCTTTCCAAGCTACCATAACATTAATATGCAGGTTTCTCTTCCATCAACACATTTTTATTTACATAGATGCATCATTGATGTACTATTAAGGGAATATTTCTATTACTGATGAAATATTAGGGAATATTTCTAATACCAATGAACCATAAGGGGATGATTTTATTACTGTGACCTGACTTTCCCCTGATCTCAAATATTGTGTACTGTATTTGACCCCCATTGAGGCTAGTTTGAGAAAGTTGTTTTTTGAGAATATTTGAGGGTTCTACAATCAATCTTATTGTGCCTAATCAGATTCTTAGATCATATATGGTAGTTTGTCTATCCAACAGGGTTTTATGGGTTTCTTTTTACTATAACTAATGAGAACACAGCCTGTAAATGTATAACACCTTAACATCAACACACCCTGGATATCAAATCACCATATAGGATGGTATACACCTAGAAAAGTATTTGGAGAATTGCTTTTTTCTTCACTTGATTTAAATCTCAGTGAAGCATAAAAATTAGTTTCATGATGAAAGACGGGCGATTACCTGGTTAGAAAGTAAAGTCAGCTAAACTAGAACTGCATTCCAGTGAACCACACCATGTCTGACTAAAGGAAAACTTTGTTTATTAGAGGATTTATACGATGTATTTGTATAGGTCTTCACAATTTGTTCTGTTTAAATGATCATGACAATTTCTGATCTGTTATTGTATTTGGATAAATGATTAAATTGAGTAAACGTTTATTCAACTTGGAGTCAGTAGACCGTGTCCGGCACTACAAAGACAGGTGTGTACAAATGTTTCATGAATGAATGTGTAAGTAGTGTAGGACAGTGATTAGATGTAAAAGTACAGGTAAGTGTAGTAAGCTGTTTTACACCTATCATAGACATACTAATTAGGTTACCAGGGTCGACACAGTCCCTGCATTATTTGTATGAGGTCATCATGAATATTCATAACTAGCTGTAAGGATGGACATATCGATGTTAAAACATCCGGCTACTCTGAGGAGGTACTTGTGCTTTTGTCGGGTTGACTAGCTGTACGTGTGTATTAACATCTTGCTGAAGCCCCTTGTCATTATATCGGACAGCTTATTACTGTGGGTAAGTACTTTTTGTACTTGGTGTAGTAAGACATTGGAATAGAAAAGGTCAGGTATTTACTGTTACATTACGATAGTGTTGATGTACTAACTGTACAAGTATGTCTATTACAGAAGTTATGACGACTATATAGATATAGTCCTCATAATAAATGATTAATTGATTTGACTCTTGATAAAGGAGCGGATCGCTCCGAAAATTGGACAACCTAAACTTGTCCACACTGTTGGAATTACTTCTTTTGCCCATATATATATATATATAGATAAATAACTGGTCTGACATCTCTAGGATTGATAGAGCTGTTATTTATTGTTGTAGTAAAAACAATTAACATTTCACTAAATATTCTGGGAGGGGTATGTGTAACTGACACACAGGCACATTCTGTGGACGTACAACATAAGAATTCCTGATACCACAAAATCACAAACAATGGGTTTTTTGTGCACCACAAAACTGGCAGGTATTTCTTCTCCAGGTTGGCTAAGCTAGCCAGGTATTTATATCTTCACCAGGTAGGCTTGCCAGGAATGCTAGAGTGTAAGTTAGCTAGGTTACTAACAAGATATCAGTGTCATCGGGAGTGTTTTGTGTCCACAACATTTATAAGTTTTCTGCTGGATGTACCCAACTAATGGTGTCTGCCATCCATTTGATAATCAAGTCATTTTATCCAATCATAAATTTACAGTTACCTGTCGTTCATAACATTTTTCTGCTACAATTATGAGATGATAGACATTGATTAAATCACAGACAAGGGTAAATCACCTGGTGATAAAATCACAAATATAAGTCAGCTGTGAAATGTTACATACATCTGTCTCTACAGAATATGTTACCTGTAAGTATATAGGTACTGTAAGACCTAGGTGTATAAACTACAATGTATTCAGGGTTGGTGTTGACATGCTGCACACACAAATCTTGAGAGAAATTAAATACCAGAAGATTGTGTTCTGCAGAAGTCAAATGTCAAAATCTTTTGAACAGATATCAATGTTAGGTGACGGGAATGATTTTGATAGAGAAATAAATCATTTTCATCCCTTAACGTGTTAACCTGCTCAGTACTTCATGTGAATTACTTCCATGCTTATTACTAGTAGCAATATAATAATGGCAATAGTCAGAGCAGCAGGACAGGTGACATTGTTTGACATTTAATGTTGTCGTCTGTACAGTGTTAACATTATACCACAGAAATGTTGACAATAAGGGTTGCCTACCTCTGCAGTGTGAACATTACCTCACCTCTATGTTGAGAATAAGGGTTACCTATCTCTGCAGTGTGAACATTATGTCACCTCTATGTTGACAAAAAGGGTTACCTACCTCTGCAGTGTGAACATTATTTCACCTCTATGTTGACAATAAAGGGCCTACCTCTGCAGTGTGAACATTATTTCACCTCTATGTTGACAATAAGGGTAACCTACCTCTGCAGTGTGAACATTACCTCACATCTATGTTGACAATAAAGGTTACCTACCTCTTCAGTGTGAACATTATGTCACCTCTATGTTGACAATAAGGGTTGCCTACCTCTGCAGTGTGAACATTATTTCACCACTATGTTGACAATAAAGGTTACCTACCTCTTCAGTGTGAACATTATGTCACCTCTATGTTGACAATAAGGGTTACCTATCTCTGCAGTGTGAACATTACCTCACCTCTATGTTGACAATAAAGGGCCTACCTTTGCAGTGTGAACATTACCTCACCTTTATGTTGACAATAAGAGTTGCCTACCTCTGCAGTGTGAACATTACCTCACATCTATGTTGACAATAAAGGTTACCTACCTCTGCAGTGTAAACATTACCTCACCTCTATGTTGACAATAAAGGTTACCTATCTCTGCAGTGTGAACATTACCTCACCTCTATGTTGACAACAATGATAGTATTTCTGTACATTTTAAACATCATCATTCTTGTTCTATGTTTTTTGTTGAATTTTTGTATAAAATTTCATTTCATGTTTCAATGTAGACATATAAATGTAGGTCTGCACTTAATAATAAATAGCATGATATGAAAATATAAAGAGAGAGAACTCTGTATGCATGAGTATCACTCCATCCTGTTCTGTAAAAGTGCTGACTTCCTAGAGGATTGCCCTTACCTCGGGGACGGGGACCTACGTGACAGTTTCCTACTCGACTAGCTTATACACTTTATTCTGGTGGTGTTAAATCCGGTGTAGCCTGTGTATGATGTAAGCCGGGGTATAGGTACTCCTCGGTGATACAGGATTACAACATAGAAACTCAACAGGGCATTTGATTTTGTGTATTCAACATGACAATAGGATGTCTTCTTCACAGTGGCTTTTGTTATTACTGATTAAAAGTGAAAATGGGATACAAAGATTTGAATTTGGAAGTCTTCACTTTTGTTTTCATCACTTTCATATAGATGTAGTTTAGTTCATACAACATTCTTGAGACAAAGAGATGAAATCTTATATAAATGATGCAGGAGATGGGACCCTACAAGAAAAATACAAACTTTCCATATGAAATATCATAAAGATATACGCCTACTGTTACTGAGGTATGCCATGTGCCCTCAGCTTATAGATATTTGGTTTGATTATTGGAGTTCAGGTTAACATAATGATTAACCATTCATGCCCATGGACTCTATTGTGTTTTAAAACCTAAGTATAATCTATCTATCATATTGTGTTCCCCAAAGCAACTCTTGCTAGCTCATCATTATCATCTGCAGACAAAGCAACTCTTGCTAGCTCATCATTATCATCTGCAGACAAAGCAACTCTTGCAAGACCATAGATATGTTAAGGAGTACTAACCACTAGTTGTACACAGTTGAGAAGTATTTAGAGCTGTCAGTATTCCTATATCTATATGTACCACCACCAGTCAAACAACACAGTCTTCTGTGAGAGGTAAGGATGGGTAGTTGTAATCTTAAATATTTTCTGTCCATTTTCTTAATGCTGTCATGCATATTGTCACAGAGCGTTGTGCACAGATGTTCAATGTTCCTCAAACCATCCAGCCGTTCTCTATAGCTGCTGTCTAAAAGTATCAGGCAGGTAATTCAGAATAAGAATTATTCATGAGGGTAGCAGACGTGATTGACGTGATTGACACATTCCTCACATAATTTTGGGTTTCCGTATTGGAGCTCGCTGGCTGTTATTACAAAATAAAGACTACAGTATACTGATTGGATTTTTGAATTATCTCACACTGTGAGACTGCAGTCTTCATGAAGTACATGTCCTCAATCTTTCAATTTAAAGAATGAAATGAGCTCAATATTGTTTGTTTTTTTTCTAAAATGAAATCAGCTCAATATTGCTTAGTGAGACATTGGTATTTGTAAATAGTTTAAATATTGTATTTGAAAAATTATGAAAAGTTCTATGGTATCTTTGTCTACAATAATGTTACTATCCAATTTCTAATCAGATTTAAATTTCAGACTTTATGAGATTATAGTGAATTACATAATTGATTTATGGTAATTTTTTCTGTTTTTCTTGTCTAGGTTTCACAACAAAGCAACGGGACACACAATAATGAGACAGATGTGTTGAAAGGATTCAGCTCCCCATCCAACAATATAAACCCGCTGTACGACCTCATCAACACGGACCTGGAGCCTGACGAACCACCGACAAATACTACTACTGTACCCTCATCAAACCCACTGTACGAGATGTCCGCAGATTACGAGGAACCACAGAAACCAGACATGGCTTCGTCCGAGCCCGAAAACCCAATGTATGGATATTTATCTAGTGAGGATAATACAAATGGATCCCCTTCCGAGGATTTAATGGGAACAAGTACCACAGTAACTAGCGACGATTCTGGAGTTACCATGGAAACTGCTCAAACCAGTGAGGAGGAGTTAATTATGGTAAGTGGCGAGAAATCAGTGGTAGAAAACGGTGAAAAAATATATGAAAATGTAAGTGTTGTTAATGGTGATGCTTCCTCCCATCAGGAGGAAGTGGTGTGTGATCAAGGGGAGATAATTCAGAATGATGTTCAGGAGGAGGTTGCTTCTCAAGAGGATGCAACTGCTGAACAAGTTGTTGACCAAGAGGTTCAAGGAGATATTTCGCAAACTGTGGATAATACTGCAGAGTTTGAAGACAAGCCTGTTCAGGAAGAGGAGGGAGAAGAGGAAACTGTGGAGGAGGTATCCATGGACTCCTACATGCAGAGTGCTCCAGCTGAGGCTGTAGATGATGTAGCTGAACAAGAACCAGAAGAGGATCCCAGCCAGGTGGAAGAGGAAGCAATTCCACAAGAAGAAGAGCAGGTAATTGAACCTGTTCAGACAGAGGCAGTAGAAACCCAACCAGAACTGGTACAGGTTCCTACTGAAGAACCTCAAGTTCCGGAACCTGTTGCAGAGCCAGAAACCTGCCTTGAACCAGAGCCAGTACAGGCTGAATTTGAGCCTGAACAAGAGGAACAAATTCCAGAAGTTAAGTTCCAAGAGGAAATGGAGGCAGCACCACAGGAGGATGTAGCTCAGTATGTGCAAGAGGAAGTTGTTCAGGAAGTTGAAAAGGATGTTCAGGATGTTGCACCTCAAGTTGAGGAAGAGGAAGTGCTGCCACAACCTCTGGAGGAGGAAGTGGTACCACAACCTGTAGAGGAAAAGGCACCACAGCATGTAGAGGATGTGGCACCACAAGCTATGGAAGAGGAAGTGGCACCACAATCTCAAGTGGAGGAAGTGGCACAAACCTTGGAAGAGGAAGAGATACTACAAGAGGAGCCAAGTGTGACAGAGGACCAACAGGAGGAGATTGACCAGGTAATTCAGCATGTTTGCATGTGTGTATCATAATACTATAGCGTTGTATATACTCCTCGCAGCAGCAGCATCCCGAATGTCTATACAATTTATATACATACACAGGTATTTTTTCACTTTCAGGGTATGTGTTTCAGGTGGCACACAACTTAATATTCTTATTTTCATATTTTTATAATTGCTGTCATTATTTTTGGCTTACCAAATGGACTATGCATGGCCTTTTTATTTTGGATGCATGCAGTATTTTAGGAAAGGATAATTGGTGAGTTAAACTGGCTCGTGGATTGTGGGAGGGGTGGGGTAGAGGGAATAGTGTGCTAATGGTATGAGATACTGTATAATCTTTAGGAGGGGTTGGTTGAATGTTGGGGACCAGGGGTGGGGATTTGAAGGGTAGGGCGAATGTGTTTCAACGGGGATATGAGCTGTATTACAGATAAAACTGGTGATATATAAGCAGTTAAATTTTCAATGAAATTTAAAATTTAGGTAAAAAGTTATTTTTGGAAGTATGTTTATCAATGTGGCATTTAGATTTTTCTCCCATTAAGGACTGTTTATTCTGACCAGGACAAAAGGAAGTGAAGTGATTTATTTTTAATTATTAAATCTTTTCACTACAACATTGTGTTTGACAGCAATACATATACATATTGTATATGTGGATATGACAATACAACACCTGTAATATCTTTCCTGATGCTAAAAATTGAAACCCTGGTATTTATGTTACTGTGTAGGTACCAGCCTGAGATAGGGAATGTGTATTACACAATTAGATTGGCAGATTTAATTATAAAGTAACCTTTGCGTGGCTCTCCGGAATTCAACGACGGAATACAACGCGATACCAGGGTACAACACGTACAGACAACGTTCTGAGAGAAAAATCAATCACTCATCTGATGAACCTGGAAAATGATATGACACACTGTTTATTCTTGTCATGTTAATGATAATCTGGGTTATTTTTAACCAGCAGCCTACCCGTGTATATCATGACTGTGCACCTATCTACACGATGATCACATCTGCATGACTAACAGGTGTGTTACACACATAATTACAGGTACACAAGCTATATGTGTACAGTAAGATACATCAGCTGATGAGGACTGACAATGACACACCTGTAATCACTTACTGATACAGTGGCATACTTGGATTATATCTACCTGAGAGGGGGCGGGGCCAACCTCAACCCGAAACATCACAGCTCGTTTATACGGGTATACTCAAATAAGGGTATAATATCTGTGCCAACAGGATATACCTGGATTTAATTGGATTGACCTGGATAAGTTGAAGGTATTTCCTGTTTTTCTGGATGCACTAGGAGTGACGTTGTGTTAAAGAGATTGAATAGTATCATGTACAGACCAACCCAGATACTGGTTATCTGGGTGTATGAAAGCCTGGTTAATAACTCATAGTCAAGAATATAGTTTTGATATTTATTATGTTATATCGTACAAAGATTCTCTATCAAATTATATCAAAACAGAAATCTTCTCATATTGAATTGTGATTCACATATTTATGAAACTCACATGTCAGTTGGATTCACATGTTTCCAGCTCACACACACAAAGGTGTTGGTGATAACATGTTTCAGTCAATAGAATCAGTCACAACAGCTCTTGGGGCAGGTGGTTGTTGTATTTGTATGTAGAATGTCTTACAGTCAAATAGCTAGGTGTTCACACGAAATGGAAACAACTTACCGATAATATATTTCATTTCTTCCATGTCATCTTTAAAATGGAACAAGAAAGGTTGAGACAAGGACAGATAATACAGTAACGGCAGATTTAACAGATACTTCTTCAACCAACAGTACAAATAGTATTTCAACTTAAAGTTACAGATATAATTATGCACAGATACAGATATAAAAAAATAGCACTTCAAAGCAGAGTTACATATATTACTTTAATATGGCATTAAAAATATCTAGCTGTCCCCCAGTCGTATAGCCCCCTTACCCAACTATTTCTAAAGACACAAAGTGTCTGGTTTCTGAAGACAAATTACAAGTTAGTGCTGTAAACTTTAGATCGAACAGTAAACCAGATTTGTGTACAAACACTTAAGTTGGGCTGGTAGGGTTTTAATGAGGAAGTGATGACTGTCATGTCTTAAACTGTTTATGGTTCAATTAAGTAAAATAAGTGGAGTTTATGAGTGGGTCACCTCTAGTAGGATTTACTGTTATAGCTAGGGGTCACTTCCTATGTCTGTTACGAGTGACCACAGTGACCAGGACACTATAGGACAATGTAAAGTTAACAGGAGGTCAGTTCTTGTATAAATCATAGACAACCTAGTTTTTCCTTTTAAAACCTTGACCATAGTGATCAGACTACATGAGTCACCCCTCTATAAGTGGACACTTGATGGACAATACAGATAGCTGAAAATACCTTCATTCCATACAAATATTTACAGTAAAGTCTCTCACTTTTGATGGACTCCTATTTTAAGTTTGGATGTCGACTTTGAGGGGGGAAATGTCACTGGCTGGAGAATTTGTAGGCTATGTGACATCATGGAGTTATTTGACAGATAATGTTATCCATTCACACGTTTATGTTACCAAAGCAACCAAACATTTTACGCAAATCATCGCCTCTCGTTAAGTACAGGTGTACCTAAAAGTACAGATATACCAAAATAAGGTGTTGTAGGATTTACCTGGATTTGATTGGATTGACTTAGAAAGTTTGAGGTATAGTTTCTGTTTCTGTGAAGATCTCTTTACTCGAAGTAACACTTTAAATACTCTATTTGTTATCGTCAATAAATTCTATCAAATGTTAAGGATATTTACAGTAGATAAGATATTGGCTTGTTATTAAGGATATTTACGGTAGATAAGATATTGGCTTGTTTGTACCGCTTTGTTGTTGTGTTTATGATAGTGTATTGGGCAAGTAAAACCTTGTTGGTCTCATCTACAGGTATATAATACCAATTAAGTGAGGACAGGTGATTGTTGTGTCACCTGTGACAGGGGTCAGATATTGGTTCCATTATCTAAGGTATGTATGGTCAGTAGCCGGAAGGTTTGGTGCTGGACACAGCAGGTCGTCCCACTGGTGGTAGTCAGAAATAGTCCAACAGGTCATACGCATATTAATGGTTGTAAACTTCCTTAGGTCAGATCAAATGTAATTAAATGAGAATATCTGGAATTANATTATGTATACAAAACCTTTTATCGTAACAAAACCACTCAAACAAGCAAACAATAAGTGCCAAACAGGACCTAATAACGTGGCCTACCTCTATTATAAATAAGGACATCGCCTCCCAATTGTTTTCTGAAGTCAGTAGTTATACTAACACTTAATTGAATGTTTCCTCTTCTGGAGTATATGTTGGTGTAATGTTTGATTTACTATTCAATCGTCTAGACGAAAAGAAACCACCACGACCAAAACCAAAACGTAATAACATTTTAAAGCAGGGTCAGTAATGTACTACATAATGCATGAAGTTAAATGAAGTCCCCAGAGTTGAGCTCTCTTGTAATGGTGACATTTATGTAAACTTTGGTTATAGACGTCAATGAAGTTGATGGCAAAGCAACAAAATACCACACAATTCACCGGAATTCCTGTGTTGACATTTGTAGGAGTATTCCAATGTATTTAGGAATTATTCATAAATTATACATATAATACAGCTGACTAATCTAGATAAGTGGCTAAAAGTGTATGTGCTTGTTTTCCGGGATAAAAAGATGTCAATACCATGCCATAAAACAATGGCCAGGCATTTCAGTAATCAAAGGGAAATAACTCCTACATGTATCTACAAGTTATGCAGACTTTGTCATTTTATCTGATATGATTATGTCCTTAATGTTCTATTTTTGAACTTGACAGTAAATACAAAACTGTACAAGACAATAAATGGTGTCTGTTTGAGCTTTGATAGAACATTTACATATTAATTAATAGACTTATCAATGGACACTACCTACTAGATATAAAGCTGTCATGTGTCGATTACGGTGGAGACTATCATGTTATAATTTATAGGTGTATTGTATTACCTGTGGTATGTTATTTGTGGTAGATGTCCACAGTCTTTAAAACTGTTCTATAAGGGTTAAAAAAATCTTCTTTCTACTAGGAATGGCCTTGTATTTAAGTGTTTACTGAAAAGGAAACATTTTTTTGGTCATTTTTTTGGTCATGTTTACTGTGCAGTGTAAGGTAAATGACAAGAAAATTTAAAACAAACAAAAAATGTCCAATAAATACATAGGACTGTAATAATAAACTTATGGGTATATAAAGAGAATATTCAGACTGTGATAAATAGACATATGGGTATGTAAAGAGAAGATTCAGACTGTGATAAATAGACTTATGGGTATATAAAGAGAAGATTCAGACTGTGATAAATAGACTTATGGGTATGTAAAGAGAAGATTCAGACTGTGATAAATAGACTTATGGGTATATAAAGAGAAGATTCAGCAATCAGTTTATGTCAGGTAAATCTGTTAAAGTGAAAGAATAAAAATTAATAAGAATCAAAAAAGATGTATGAATTTTTTCTTAATTGTTCCAGCACTTTGTCAAAAGAAGGTCATTTTATCAGTTTTGTGTAAGATGTCTTCAATTTTTTTTAAATTCTTAGCAATTATATTTAACTGTGAACATCTTAACATTTACTTCCTATAAATATAGCATGTCTGATTATGGTAGAGATGTGGATACGAGGTACAGTCAAGTCTTCAAACGCTTCAGTGACTAAGAATTCAAACGTTTTGTTCTGGTACACATTACAATCAGCGATACTATCAAACAGTGTACTCCTTATAATAGAAATAAAATGAGCACAAAGTACAGATATAAGAAGGGACGAGGTAACCATTAAGGTATAAGTTAGTGATTTAATATAAGGAAAACAATCCAGAATGTAAATGTTCATTGTTAAACTGCCTGCTTCATATTGTTTTGGTTAAGGTTTTATTTTCAAAT